GAGACTGGGTGCCGCGAGTGTACATGTCGGAGGCTGGTACGTACCGGGTAAATAAATAAGGGTCGGGGTGTGTCGAACACACACCCTGGGTCCCCTTTTCCGACCGGTCCCGGTTAAATTCAACGGCAGACAATGGCAACAAGTGCAAAAATGCAAAAAGAGCAGACAACCTCGTATTTCAGGTGGTGCCCTATTCCCTATTCCCTAAACCTTGTTCCCTAAACCCCAAACCCTATTCCCTAAACCCTAAACCCTTAATCCTAAATCCTAAACCCTAACCCCCGAACCTTAAACCCTAAACCCTAAACCCTAAACCCTACTGCCTCAATCCTCAACCCTCAACCCTAAACTCTCTGAACCCTATTCCCTAGTCCCTAAACCCTATTCCCTAGTCCCTGAACCCTATTCCCTATTCCCTATTCCCTGTTCCGTATTCCCTATTCCCTAAACCGTAAACCCTATTCCCTATTCCCTGTTCCCTGTTCCCGAAACCCGAAACCCTGTTCCCGAAACCCGAAACCCTATTCCCTAACCCTAAACCCTAAACCCTAAACCCTAAACCCTAAACCCTAAACCCTAAACCCTAAACCCTAAACCCTAAACCCGAAACCCGAAACCCGAAACCCTAGACCCTAAACCCCAAACCCCAAAAACTATTTCCTCCCTATTCCCCAAACCCTCAACCCTCAACCCTGTTCCCTATTCCCTGTAGCAGGAAACCCGAAACCCTGGTCCCTAAACCCTAAACCCTATTCCCTATTCCCTAAACCCTGAACCGTAAACCCTAAACCGTAAACCCTAAACCCGAGACCCTAAACCCGAAACCCTAGACCCGAAACCCCAAACCCCAAACCCCAAAACCTATTCCTTATTCCCCAAACCCTATTCTCTATTTCCTGTAGCAGGTGGAGTTAAAATCCATCTGGAAAATGCTCGTATGAGCGGCTGACACGGGGTACAGTAAGTGGCACAGTGCGTAGCACGGCGCTGACGCTGGTTGTTTGGCAATGAATTACCAATCTCTCTTCCCTCTTCCCTATTCCCTATTCCCTACACCCTATTCCCTATTCCCTGAACCCTAAACCCTAAACCCTAAACCCTAAACCCTAAACCCTAAACCCTAAACCCTAAACCCTAAACCCTAAACCCTAAACCCTAAACCCTAAACC